CACTGTATGCTTTCATACTGTATTGGTTGTTTTTCTTGTGTAATTAAAAAACCCAAACCAACTCTGCTAATTAAGCTCTCCCTGGCCTGGAGCTCATTTGGATCCCTGACAGTCCCTAGTTAAAGCCTAGTTTGTAGTTTTTTGACAGCAAACCAAAACTGTCTTGTTTGCTTCAGGAAACCTGGCTGGTTTTAGTCCCTGACATGATTTGGGGGGGTACCCTCTTCCTAACAAGTCACCCATCCTCTTGACCATGACTTACAGAATTTTGTGCCAGATTTGTCTTGGTCTTTTTTTTTTTGAGACAAGTAGTAGTAGTAATGATGAAGTTACTGTTAGCTTGCTTTTAATTTATGAAAAATTATCTTGGAAACAGGAGTAAGATGGTATACTGATATGATAAAATAAGGGCAAAAGCAACTAAATCATATTACTTGAACTAACATGTGTTTTTGACATACATTTTAATTCTCCCATTTATTGCTTCCTAATTAGTCTGTAACTCAGAAGATTAAAAACACCATAGTCAAGTCTACAAAATTTTATGAAATGAAATGTTTAGAATGTACTTTTCTCTGATGATGGCAATCGATGTGAATAGTATTTAGTAATTTTTTTTTTTTACAATTTTACTTGTTTTGTTGACATGTTTGGAAATAGGGAAAGAGGCTGAGTCAGAAACCTTCATTACAGTTATTATTTAATTCACCTCATCTCCCTTTATGTGACACCTTACCAGAAAAGAATTTCTACCTGCCTGATTTGACATTTGTAAGAAATCTTATAGTACTTTGATTTCACAACTAGTTTTTACAACCCTTGCCCTCATAAGAAGCCAAATGCTAAGCTCAAAGAGATATCACAAACCTTGCAAAAAATTTGGAAATATTTCTTTCTCCTATATGGTCTACTGGTGTCACTTAACTAAAACTCCTCAGTTTGTGACCTTGAGAAACCTAGAGACTAAATAGGAAGAGTAGAGAACTGAAGCTCATCCCCTCCACCACCACCCAAAAAGGGGAGCAAATATTCAGCATAACAGGTAAGTGTTTTTATGATTATGGCAGATGGTGATTGAAGCAAAGGCAATTCAAAAGGGGAGACACATGAAAGCAATAATTTTGAATGTTTGACATTTGTTTTGAAACTACCTTACTACCCTATACCCTTCACCATCTGTCTGCTATCCCTCCCAACACCAACCCCTGTCTTCCCACAGGGCTCCATTGTCTGCAGTTCCTGTTTCTCAGGGGCGGAGCTGTGGGAGGCAGCCATGGGTGCCATAATAGGCACCTGCGGCCAGCACAATGGGCTGTGGGTGCTTGTGGGAGAGACAGATTGATGTATTGTGCATGGGGGAGGAGGGCTGTCACTTGAATCCATGTGAACCCAGGCTTTAGGGGCAAGGGAGATTGACAGCTTTTGTAGGTTGCATTTCTTTTTCAAAGCTTGGCTTTAATAGACAGTAAGTTTGGGGCCCCAGGCTTTCACTCCCATAATTCTAACAGGGCAATCACGAGCATTCAGCATTTCTTTTTACCCCCCTTGTTACGCATTAAATGATTTCAGTAAAGGAATGTGCAGCATTAATTAGAATTTGTTAGCAGATACCAAGGGGAAAAGTTTCTTCACAACAACTATAGGAGGTGTCATTTGTACAAAGACTTTTTTGTTTTCTTTCCCCATTACATTATCACTGCAATATGTAAGGTAGTGATTCTTTTCATTTAAATTAAGTGGAAAGCTACTAAATCTTGTTTTATTCTTCAAAATGAATAAGGTCCTTAACACTTATCTTTTAACTTCTTTCATTTCCTAAGGTTGGTGTTTACTTTTGCTTTCAGTCCTACCCATTTACTGATCTGTGTGGTTGTGTATCCAGTTTTGTGTACCATTTAGCTCTTACAATTACAGGCAACCCACTACTGATATATAAGGATTGTTTCAGGTGAAAATAGCTACCAGTAATATTGAAAATCATCGATACACTGGAGCCCTTTTTGGTAATTGTAAATTGAGAAATGCCAAAAATTAGACTCCTTTAGGTTTGTGTCCTAACTTATTTTCTAAAACTATTTTTCCGTAGTTGCTATTTAACCTTAGCCATGACATCAAATTTATGGAGGAATGGGACAGCATCTGAGGATTTTTTTTCCTGTAGAAAACTCATTCCTAAACCATGTCAGTATTTTTAAACATCAAACGTCCCCTATTCAAAATGTATACAGATAGCATCATTTACTTACAGCTAGTTAAAATGGTCTTGTTTTTTTTTTGGGGGGGCAGTTGTTTTGTTTCTATTTTCTATTCTTTTTTATTCCTTACATTTTAGACTTATTTGGGAACAATACTACTCTCAGGATATACTGTAAACCTACATTTTGCCATCTGAGGAACTGATAAAACATTAAAAATTTTTTGGCGTGATTTTTCTAATATCTCTCCTATATAAAATCATTTTCTCTATGGAAGAAATTGGAGTCTAATTGAATTAGAATTTTCCCCTTTCAGTTGTTTTATTTAAATATGTTAAGGGCAACAGTGAAAAATATTGATTGTCTACCATTATTTCTCAGAGAGAACATATTCCCACACAGTTGTCTGGCTCTGTCTATTATAATAATTTGGAGCAATGGTTTTAAAAGTAGTGAGGTGATAATAATTAGGATGTGTGACAGAAATTTCAGTGCTAGATTCAACATTTTGCCATGCAGGGCATGAAAATTGCCGACCCGGGCTAGTCAGCTCTAAGTACTAATTAACTAATTAATCAGGTGCTGAAACCAACTGAATGGAGGATACCAGACAGACAACTCAAGCCCAAGCAGAGAGAGGATTGTGTTCTTTTCAAAGACAGCACAATCTTTCTTCTTGGTTTTTAACCCAATCAGAAATGAGGAGAGAAAATGGGATATGGTGTACTACTCAGTCATTTTAGTCCTAGCTTTTTACTTAGAGAAGATAAAGTAAAAACATTATTTTCTGACAATAACTGTGAGGCAGTACATGCAGGGCAACACTCAAGGCTCTGGCAAACCCACTAACTCCTTGGCCATGAACTATTTCAGGGCTGATGTATATGGGTTCGTGTGGGATGGGGGGAGGGAGCCCTGCCTTCTTGGAGTTTTCTCCTACAATTTTTTTTTTTAACATAAGAGAATGAGAAACATAGTTCTCTTTTTGGGCCAGTTTTAGGTCTTTTGCCTCATCCCTCCTTTATGTAAATGAGAAGAGTCCAATTACACATATGGAAAAAAGGGTTTAATGAATCGTGAAAAAGCCCAGTTTGCAGAGAAAGGACACAATCCCCTCTTCTTCTTCTTCTTACCTTTTATATTTAATTTAGAAACATGTATTTCTTTTAAGGAAGATCATAAAGGTTAATGATTAGATCATTTTATTTTAGATACTAATTTTCATACTTGGGAAATCTTAAACAAACATAGCTTCCTTTATCTAAATTGTAAGGCTTTCTAGAGATTTAGCAAATATTCTACAACAAAAATTGTGATATTCCAAAAAAACTTTTCCCTAAATTTAAAAAATCATTTCATTTTATTTCCTCTCCTTTTTGATGTTATTCTTAGCTCAGTGATAATTTTTCTTCTCTTAACACAGTTTGCTCTGGAATTGTCATCACTAAAAAGGGATCACATCATTAGAAGGACGCTGTTATTGAACCCAAGGAAAAAGACTTTAGTATCACATACAGTTTTAGCTTAATTTTGATATTATGATGTTTTAACTAGCTAGAATTTTAAGGATGTTGGAAGGAAATTGGATTGGGTTCCCCCCCCCCAAAAGTACTGAATTTTACACTAGAGCAGAAAAATCTTGTGTTTGGGATTTCATTTTTTAAAATTGTCTTCATCTTGCAATTTTCAATAATTGAAAGTAGACCCCACAGAAATCCTCTAACCCATTCTTTTAATGACAAAAAGCCTTACAAAAATATTGTAGGAAAAAAATCAATACCATTTCTGAGAGCGACTCTTAGGATTTGATACGTGTGCAACTGCCCAGAAGATATGCTTTGCTGGGACAGCAGGAAAGTTCTAAATCACGACTGGAAGTGCTTTCTGGAGACCTAATCTAACAACCTCATTGGGCACTTGGGGAAACTGAGGTCCAAGGGAGGGTGAGGCAGGGGGACTGGAGAGAGGGGTTGACGTGATGTGATTTTTTTCTTTTTCTTCTACAAAATGCTGCCTCTATGCCCAGAAAACAATTTTCTTGGGTGCCTACTCTGCGAAGGGCATTGGTGGGATTCAGATGATTGCTTATTCAGATGCCTGTCCTCCACTATATCTCGCACCCCGCACCCCCCTCCAACCCCCCGCCGGCCTTCCCGGATCGGCGCCCTGGATGTGATTGACACCATGAAGTTGCCCCCATAATCCTCTCTGGCAACATAGGATGTAAAATTTGATCAGCTCATTGGATGAAGCCGACAAGTCTCAAAAATGTGTGAAAAGGGGGCCAAGCGGCAGGCAAGCGCCGCATTGAGGCCAGCGCTTCAGCCAGCCCCTCTCTGAGTTCTAGGTGCGGCAGCCGCGGAGGAAAGGGGGTTAGGGCCCAGCTGAGGGGCCGCGGCGGCGGCGGCGGCGGCGGCAGTGGCGGCGGCGGCGGCAGTGGCGGCGGCGGAGGCGGCGGCGGCTACCGATGCTGTGGCAGTAGCGACAGCGGCGGCTTTGGGGAGGCCGCAGCGCATTGGAGGGGGGAGTTCCTTAGGAGCCGATCGGGAGGCCGGAAGGGGGCAACCAGGCGGCACAGGCGGCTTTGGAGTTCTGTCCCGCGCACAGCCTGGGGTCGGACCAGGCGGGGCGGGGCCAGGGCGTGCACCCGAACCGCGGGCGGTGCGTGCGCACCAGAGCTTTTGGTCTCAGGGCCGCTCAGTCAGCTCCTGCCCCGCCAGCGCACGCGGAGAGGGTGGCATACGCTTAAGGAGGAGGGCAGCTCTCGGAACAGGAGTCAGAGGAAGGAGGCAAGCAGCTTAGAAGATGGAGGAACAGCTGAAGGAAGACGAGGCCGAGGTCGCAGAGCACTGGTTCTCTAAGTGGGAGCGTCAATGCCTGAACACAGCCGAGCAGGAAGAGCAGCTGCCTCCCGAGATACGAGACAAGGAGGCTGAGGAGGACGAGGGAGCAGAGGAAGATGAGGAGGACGAGGAGGCCGAGAAAGATGAGGAGGCTGAGGAGGACGAGGAGGCTGAGGAGACCGAGGAGGATGAGGAGGACGAGGAGGCGGTAGGGCCCAAGAGCGAGCAGCAGAAGCTGTGGCACCTCTTCCAGATCTCTGCCACGTCCGTGGCCCAGCTCTACAGGGGTTCGGGGTACCCACAGCCAGAACTCTCCATGTGGGACCCCTTCCAGAGCGCGGCCATGGCTGTGACCAGCCTCTACAAAGAGAGTGGGAAGGCCCACCAACGAAGTTTTGACCTGGGCGTACAGGTTGGCTACCAGCGTCGTATCAAAGATGTTCTGGATTGGGTGAAGAAGGGCCGAAGCACTATTCACCGCGAAGATCTGATTAGCTTCCTGTGTGGAAAAGTGCCCCCAGCTCCTCCACCACAGCATACCCCCAGGACTGCCCCGAAGCCTCCTGCTGGGGCCTCCAGCCAAGCTGCCGCCACTGAATCCAGCTCGTCGGTAGACGTCGACTTGCAGCCCTTCCATGAGGCCATCGCCCTGCACGGCCTCAGTGGTGCCATGGCGACCATCAGTGTGCAATCTGGCCCACCCAGCTCCCCACCTCAAGCCAGTGGTGTTTCCAGCAGTGTCACTAGCGCTGGTCTCCAGAGAAGTAGCATCCTTGAGGACGACTTGAACTCCAGCGACTCAGAAGATCTGCCCCTCCACCTGGCCAGTGGGGGGTCCCGCAAACGCACCTTGGCCCAGTGCGGTGAAGGCGTCTCGGACTCCCCAACCCACAAGCGCAACCGAATGGTCTAACTGTCACTTTGGTCACCACTCGCCATGTTGCTTTAAACCTAACTTGACCTTCAACATGATTGTTGAAAGGATACTCGACACCATTTCTTCTTTAAGTTAAACAAAGGTTTCTATCGAGTTTGCCATAAAGAAATTTTAAAAGTATTCCAGAAGAGGCCTCATATGACTCTGACTTTAACAAAAATATGATACTATCAGAGAACAACTAGTTAGCAACATCATTTAAAGCAGTAGTGTCCAGCTAGGGCTGGAACCTGGTTTATCTTTGTTACCGTTATGTTCCTTAGCACCTAGCACAGTGTTGGTGCTCAATAAATGTTTGTTGAATGAATAAATGTGACCTTATTTAAAAGTCTTAAAGGGGAACAACTAAAAGGCATTTACTTGGTTATGGGATACTTTTATCCTTTATTGTTTGTTTGGTTGTTTGCTTTAACCATTTTGGCCAGTTCAATTACATTTTATCAAAATGTAAAACTAGGCATCTTTGTGAAATCTGGAGTCTTTTATTTTTGCTCCACTGTACCATACACCTAATTTCTAGAAAGAAACTGTGCAAGTAATACATATTAGGCTGTGAGGTGTTTTTTTTTTATGCCCCTAGAGGGACACAATTTTTTTAAATGGTTGATTATATTCGTGATTATGCAATGGTGTAAAGTGGTGCTATGATGATTGGCCAGGTGAGACTTCATAGTAAGTCAATTTAATCCTCTTTTTATGAAAATTAAACCTCAACAATTGAGATCCTGAGATCAATGGCAGTGGCATTCTTAGTCCAGTGATGCTCCTTTTTCTTAGAAATGTAAGAAGTTCCTTTTGCTGAGGTTACACCTTTTTGTAACCTCTATTTTGAAGTGGAAGATGAAGTCAGAATGAACTGGGTTTTACTTGAGGATACAACATGATATAACTGAAAGAACATAAGCTTTTATTAAAGGACCAACAGTAAAATACTAGCCCCACAAATTGCATAATTTTGTACAAATCACTTAATATCTATTGACCTCAGTTTTTCAACTGTAAAATGGAACTATGGGTCTTCTAAGGTCATTGTGAAGATTAGATGAAGTTCATATTTCAAGTACCTAGCACAACGCTTGGCACCTAAAGGTACTCAATAAATGTTCTACCTTCTCTATAGATAAAAATAGTAAAACATTAAAATTCATTCTATTTTGGAAAAAAGAGCGGAAAACATCAATTTAAAAAGCAGAATATAGAATGTCTGTGTTTCAGCTTGAAACTACTGTTATGTAGTTGAAACTTGCCTAAATATCCCAGATCTTGTTTAGCTCATGAGTACACAGGATCATCACTCTGGATATTAGAGTAGCCTTGGAGTACCTGAAATTGCCTGAGAGATAAATACACTTTGCAACTGGAGTAATGAAAGATCTACCTCTTCTCTTATGAAAGAATATTGTGAGTGGAAGAGACTTGAAAGCGAAAGTCCCAGGGACACCTAAAAGGCTGAAGTTGTTCTGAATAGGGGGTAAGGTGGAGTGATGAAAGAGGTAGAGTGGGTGGGGTGGAGGTGGAGGTATAGGAGGTGGGAGTGAAGTTACAGAAGGGGTAGGGGTAGTTAAATACCCAAATGTCCCTAGGCTCTCTCAAAACCAGCATATAACATAAATACCTTGCTTTCAGGTTCATATCAGAGAGTTGTTTCAGTTTCATTAGCATGGCCTTACGATAGTACAACAAAATAAGATGAATTCCCTGATAGAATAAAAACTTGCTATTGAGGCATTCCACAAGTAGTTACTGAAGCACTGTGTTAGGCCCTGAGAAGGGATATTAAAAAAAACACACAATAAAAGTAAACCTATTCTCAGAGAGCACATTCTTGGTATGGAAGGTAAATTAATGTAGTAAAGAAAGCACTTTGATTGTATGAAAAGTACCCAAGGGCTATGCAGAAGAATTCAGAGGATAGAAGCCCTCCCTACCAAGAAGATCACAGCTTCTGGAAGAGGTGGCATTTGAACTGTGACTAGAAAAATAGGTAGAAAGGGAGAGCACATGGCATATCAGCAAAAGAAGGGTATCTAACAAAATTTGAGAAGAGGAAAGTGGTAAAGTGAGTTCAGAGGATCACAGGAGCTGGATAGGGGAGATAGGGGAGGCAGGGACCAAAGTATAGAGGGTTTCTGATGCTTGGCCCAGTACTTTAAATTCTGTCCTGGGACTGGGGTGACACCACCCAGTCTGTGTTTTAGGAAAACTGGTCTGGCAGGATTCTTAGTTGTCCACAGCAAGACACTGGAGCAGGGATAGCATTGGGTACCCCTGAAGGATGCTTTTTTTCTGGGGACGTTGCCATTTGGTTAGCCAGGGTTATGAAGATGTTGACCTTGACAGGGCTTTCTCTGGGAAGCCTTTGCTCGCTCACACCCTCTCAACCCTCAAACCACACCAGGTAGGAAGTATTGCCAGTATGTGTTCTGCCCTGCTTCTTAAAGGCTGACAAAGCCTTCAATTCCAGCTGCAGAATCTCTTAAAGGGTTAATCTTTTTTTTTTTACATTAAATATTTTGTGTTAGCTTCAGGTATTAGTATAGTGGTTAGACAAACACTTTAAAAAAGTATTCTCCTTGACATTTCCAGTACCCAACTGGCACCTTATGTGGTTATTACAATATTATTGACTATATTTCCTATGTCATATTTTTCATCTCTGTGATTGTTCTTTAACTACCAATCTGTATTTCTCAACTGCTTCACCTTCTCAGCCAAGTCCTCTGCCACCCCCTCACATCTGGCAACCATCAGTTTGTTCTCTGTATCAATGAGTCTATTTCTATTTTGTTTGTTCACTTATATTATTCTTCAGATTCTGCATATTAAGTGAAATATGGTATTTGACTGACTTATTTCACTTAGCATACTACCCTGTAGGTCAATCTGTGCTGTCACAAATGGTAAGATTTTGTTTTTTTATATGGCCAAGTAATGTTCCATTGTATATATGTACAACATTTTTTGGGGGGGGTCAGACTTCATAGATTATTTCCAGAGTATTCATTCACTCTGGAAAAAGGTAGTGCATTTTAAACCAATTTTGAGAAAGAAGAACAAAGGAGGAGGGATCACAATACCTGATATCAAATTATATTACGAGGCCACTGTAATCAAAAGAGTCTGGTACTGGCATAAGAACAGACACATAGATCAATGGAACAGAATAGAGAGCCCAGAAATAAACCCAGGTCTCTAAGGTCAATTAATATTTGAAAAAGTGGGTGGGAGCATACAATGGAGTGGAAATAACCTCTTTAACAGATGATGTTGGGAGATCTGGACAGCTACATGCAAAAAAATAAAACTTGACTACTAACTTACACCATACACCAGAATAAACTCAAAATGGATAGAAGACTTAAACATAAGCCATGACACCATAAAAGTCCTAGAGTAAAACATAGGCAGTAAAATGTCAGATAATCCCATGCAGCAACATCTTTACCAATTTCTCTCCTAGGGCAAAGGATATAAAGGAAAGAATAAACAATGGGACTACATCAAATTAAAAAGCTTCTGCATGGCTAAAGAAAACATCAGCAAAATGAAAAGACTTTACACTAGGTCAGAATGGCCATCATTAACAAATCAACAAACAGCAAGTGCTGGTGAGGATGTGGGGGAAAAGGGAACCTTAAAGGTGCACTGTTGGTGGGAATGCAGACTGGTGCAGCCACTGTGGAAAACAATGGAATTTCCTAAAAAAACCCTAAAGATGGAGCTGCCTTTTGATCCAGTGATCCCACTGCTGGGACTATACCCTAAGAATTCTGAAACACCAAATCAAAAGAACCTATGCATTCCTATGTTCACAGCAGCGCTATTTATAGTAGCCAAGTGCTAGAAACAGCCTAAGTGCCCATCAGCAAATGAGTGTATGAAAAAACTGTGGTACATTTACACAATGGAATATTACACAGCAGAAAGAAGGAACCCCTACCCTTTGCGACAGCATGGGTAGAACTGGAGAGCATTGCATTAAGTGAAATAAGCCAGGGAGCGAAAGACAAATACCATACGCTCTCACCTATAAGTGGAAACTAGTGAACGAAACAAACAAATAAGCAAAATAGAACCAGAGACATGGAAATAAGAAACAAACTGACAGTGACCAGAGGGGAGGTGGGGAGAAGGATGATGGGGAAAAGGTGGGGAAGAGTCTAGTCAAGGAACATACAGGATGGGAACTGACTGTGGGAGCAGGGAGGATTGGCAGGGCAGGGCAGGGGGAACAATGGGGCAAAAATTGGGACAACTGCAATTGAGCAACAATAAAAAAATAAGTGTTTGATTTTTAATAACCTATTATTAATGTTTTTCAGATGTAAATGCTATTGGATTATGTTGTTTTTCAATCCTCATCTTCATTTTTTTCATCATAGAAAGGATTCAGGGAAAAAGAAAGGGCTGCACCCAGTGAATGTAAACATAGAAGCCAGGTACACACTCTTACTCCTCATCTTTTTACATCTTTATGCATCAAATGCTCTCTAAGATTAGCTCCAAGATAATATGGTGGAGGGAGAGGGTGAACTATAGATGAAACTAGACACAGGGTGCACAGTAGGTGTGGGGGAGAATGGGCATGCATGTCCATTATACTATTCTATTTTCTGTATGGTTGAATTTTTTCATGGTAAAAGGTGAAATAAGTAAATAAAATGAGAAAAAAATAATAAAAAAGAAATACATTTGGAAGTTCCTTTTCAAGATTTGTGCATGACTCACACTGTGGCCAGGTTATTTACTTTTTTGCCTAAGTATGCCCATTTACAAAATGTATGTAAAATTTGCCATTTGCTATATTTTCTTTTATTTAATTTTTTCCAATTATAGTTTATGTTCATTATTATTTTGTATTAGTTTCTGGTGTATAGCATAGTGGTTAGACAATCATATATTTTACAAAGTGTTCCCCCTAATATTTCCAGTACTCAGCACAATACATAATTATTACAATATTATTGACTATATTT